GTTGGCAATCTTGCACTCATTTGACAACAATGCAGACAGCCGGAAAGTACAAACAGTATTGGAGTTTACGGGAGTGAACCTTCTGTTGGTGAAGCCTATATATTCTGTGCTTCTGTTGACGCAGTCCAGAGAGTATGGAAGGTTCCATACTCTCTGACGTAGTCTATTTATTCTATGACTTCTGGTACTTATCAGGAAAGCATCACATCGAAGTCATCGAACAAACTTTTCCTCAGTGCTACCTGGATTAGTTAGTGGATTTTCCTAGAGTATAAAGGTACTCTAGATTTTCCTACCTAGGTATTCTTCTCACTACTGTCTCAGTTATACCACTATGTTGATGAAGACTAAGGTCAGAATTTATTCCATAGTTTCCCCTTCTTATTTTTATTTATTTTGTCATCGCCCTAACCTCTATCTGTGGACAATTCGAAATTTTATGTCAGATAGTCCTTGGAAACCTTTTGTAATCCTCTTGTAAACCTCTCGTAAACGCATCATTAATACGGCCAGCGTCGAATTATCTTCTTTTTTACGTCATTAACTGTGTGTCAAGACATTCCAGAATATGTGGGAGTATCTCGCAGGGTTATAGCTCGCCATGGTCATATCATTCAACGCGCAATAATATCTGCAGTCTGCGATCAGTGGGCAGCTCATTCATAGTCGCTATTATTGCCTTTTGGTGTTGCAAATTCTCTTTGGCCCCATCAATCAAAGACTTAAAGCAGCGTCAAGTGCTTTCACTGGATGAAGCTTGAAATAGTTTGCTTTCATATGCAGAAAATTCTGTAAAGTCAAGAATGACTGCAGCTATTTGTCCCGCATTGGACCTGACCCGAGTAAAAGGGAATGCCCCTTACACTTAACCTGCACAGTAGTCGTTCATGAGACCCATCTTGGAATGGGTCTCATTATCGGTTTAAACTAGAGTCCATGTTTCTTAGAACTTTCGAGATCATGACATGTGCTTGAGTAGATTAATTCTCATACTGACATTCAGTTGAAGGTGATATTGAGAATGATATAAGACAGTGTGTGTTCCATTGGAACGGTGGACATAGTCCAGATTCAGTGCTTGTCATCAGCAGTGCTTCCTATACTTGTATATCGATGGTCAAACTACTGAAGCATAGATCTTGATTGCCATGTTTGGAAATTTCTGCTTGTATTTTATTTCTTCAAAAACAGACTGCTTAACTGGAGCTAGCAGCTGGAGGATAGGTATACAAGCAATTCAGGGGATGAACTGAAAGGGTGGGCAGACAAAAAATTGTGTAAAGTCGTGACTCCAATGAGAACAAAAAAAGATTCGGTGGATTGGGTCAATCATTTTTCGGAATTCAGAGATGAGATGAGGAGAGGAGACATTATAATTTGGACATTAGGTAGAGGTGATTTGGCTAAAGAGCAGGATTTTAGGGCATGGGAGTCAGTGGAAGAGTTTATTATAATCTTTCGGAAGGAATAAGGTTAATAGTGTTACGAATAAATGGATTACATTTTGCAATAAGGAACCACTATCTGTGGCTCTCCCATAAAAGCACATATCTGCATAGAAAAACAAATGGTATGTATGTTGTTTCTGAAATGGGCCAGAAATAGTGGTTCCTTATTGCAAAATGTAATCCAAATGAAAGAATGGATATTGAAGATAAGTGGATGGCAGAGAAGGTGAATCGGAGTATTGATAATTTAAACAATAGGATGTACCAGACATTGCCAAAATATCCACTGGACACGCTATTTGTACCAATTGTAAGTAGGGCTAGGGTACGAAGACTACTGGGGACTTGGCCAAAGAACACCAGGAAAACTAACAAGAGTAGGGCTGATCAATGTGGCGACAGCTGTAGTAGAGGAAATAAAGAAAACAGGGATGGTTAAGCAGGGTTTTCAAAGACCAGACAAAAGTTAAATAAAGCGGTTTAGAAGAAATGAGCTAGGAAAGGAAAATGTGTTAGGGAAAAAAAATTCTTCTGCGAAATTTTCACAGAATGTTCCAGAAAGAAAGTAAAAAATCAAGCTAGAGTTACTTACAATTAGTGCAGGAACTATGAAGAGGTATCCTTAAACAAATAAAATATGATTGAAAATTCTCAACATCGCCAAGTGAGATATGTCGCTTGGGAACTTCACCATCCATAGACATCCCATTGCCTTTATCTACAATTCCAATCACACTACTCGGAGTTTAACAATATAAAGTTGATAAACACTCTGTTTTGTATAAATTGTTTACTATGTCTCCTGATTTGAATAGTATTTGAAGGTCAATATGTTACAGATTATTTTGTAGAGATGGATGGTTCTGAAGAAATTGTGTTTTTATTCCAATTCGGTCTCATCAGAGACACAAAAAACGTTGATGTCTCGACTCTTACATTAAGGACCTTGAAAGATCATGCCTGTGACTTCATTAAAGCCAAGGTGAGTTTTTGCATCTTTCGTTGGGGACGGATTTTTTAGTAAATATTTATCTAAGTAACAATTTTACGCGACTGGAACAAAGTGTTACAAGAAATAATCTTGAACAATATTCTTCTCAGAAAATATATTATTTATAACTGCACTTTTGAAGTGCCACAAATGAAGATGCTTGTGGTTTTTTTAACATCAGTCAAAGATATTGAACCACGTAGACTGTGAACCAAATTCAAAAAATTAAACCTTTAATGGATGGTGTAAATGACACCTAAACGACACTAACAACAGTGATTGCCCATTAAAGTTTATCTTCCAAGATAGCCAGACAATGCATACAATGAAACATATTGTTAGCTTATATTTCGTCCTATCTTTGTTTCAGTGTCCCGGCCACGGACTTAGTAGGCTAGGTGATAGGTTATTGCTTTTCAAACATGATTACAATTCTCCCAACATCTTGCATCTCATTAACTCGGCCTCAGAAGTGGGAGATGAAACGCTCATAGAAATCGTTCTTACTGGTAAGTTATTTCTGTGAGCTTAATATTTACTGGTAGACCAAAATCCTGTGAATTTAGTTGGCACTTACTAGAAGGCCTGTCCCATTTGCAGGTGAAGGGAAGTTAGAAATCATGTGAATGTTGAAGTGGTAGACAGCCTTCCCCAGGGCCAAATGCACTTCAAAATAGGGCTATGGTGCCTAAACATTTGGGGGGTGGGGGCTGAGCCATTGTTGTCCACAAGAATATTGTGCCACCGTTAATTTGTTTCGCAATTGTGAAGCAGCAGGAGCGCTTTAAATGTACCGTTCGGGGAGCAGCCCCAGAACAGGACAGAGATACAGAGCAAGACAGCATAGCGCATGCAAAAGGTTAATTCGGCTCCAAAAAATTGCACATGCCTCTTGTGAAGAGGGCTTTCAGGCCAGTGGGGCTCCCAAAATATTAATAGGAAGGTAGAACATTGGCAGAGATTAAGTTTTTAAAGAACAATAAAATGAGCCTCTATACTGCTCCTGGCTTCGGTTTTGTTTTTGTTATCTGTGTCGTTGGTCATGTAATCTCTCTCAGGCACTCTCATGAATATTTGCTTCCACTCATTAAAGTTACTAGCCGTCATGGCTTGGACCTGTTTCGAACTTCTTGAAACGTTTAATATTGGATATTATGACATCACTTTTGATAATACAATGAGCATAACGACATGATCTTGACGGCCCCTCAGCTGAAATCCTATTGATGTAATATATTTATGCATGGGATATGACAATTGGCCACAACTACTAAATGAGGCCGGTCTCCAGCAGGTCGTTTTATCTGATTTCTACTTTACTTATAAAATGTATTGAGATGTACAGGAAGGGCTCATCCAATCATCTTTTACTTCCTACTTCCTTCCTTACTACCTTACGCATCAATCATGTTGGAGCTAAAACAGGGTTTACTTCGAGAAGCTTTTTATAGTTTTGGTGAGCTGCTTCTTAAAGAATATACTTCATGCTAATTTGCTATTTTATTGTTATTGTAATATTTTCATTTGTTATTGACCTGTATAATGGCTGTAATTGCAGTTTTTTATGTACGAGAATTTCAAAATAAATGAAAATAAATAAATAAATACTTTGTGAGGAAGAATTTTTAATCGAATCCAAATATAAATGACAACTTATGTTTGAAAAATCTCGAAGAGGAATCAGTGAGGCTCATGATAACTTTCAAAGGTAAATGTAAAGAAGTGCAATCAGAGGAGAAAACATAAAATTTCTGGCCTAGCCTCCCATGGAGATCAGTTCAAGCTGCATGAAGAATCAATCATGTAATCATACAAAGAAAATCATTTTTTGAAATATTTTCTTACAGTTTTTTCTTTGCGTAATTTTGATTCACAGCTCAGGTACTCGATGCGGAAAAAACAGAGACTCCTTTGTTTCGTTCCCACAATTTAGCTGTCCACTCCTATATCTCTCCGACCTTTTGCGATTTTTGCAGTCAGATGCTTTTTGGCCTTGTTCGACAGGGATTGAAATGCGAAGGTAATGCTGATTCAATACTCTGTGGTTACTTTAATCTCTTTAATTTGAACATAAGAAATTGATTCATTGTGACTAAGTCAATTCTGTAGTTTCATTTCCCTGTAATTCGAATTAAATCGTTCAGTTCGAAAAATTGGGAGAAACTAAATTTTAGAGGAGGCAATCAAAACTGCCTAATAGCTAAGAAAGCCAGAGCTGAATAAGGAAATTTAAGTCAAAAAGCTTTCATTGGCATTTTTTATAATTGTTGTTATGTTTGGAAGATGAAATTTATGTGAAGGTGAAAAGTGAAAATTTTCTAAATAGCTGCTTTGATTTGTTTTTGAGTTCATTAATTTAAGGTCAGAAATTAAGGACTATGAATGGATACTTCCATCACTTATTACTTCACAGGGGGAGGCTTTGTAGCATCCCAATCAGTTTTTTATCATAGTATGGCCAAATTAACTAGTTTATTCCTACAAAATCATTGGACCCCTATTTTGCTGATTTCGTAAATGGGCCCTGGAAGATCCACAAAAACTATAAAAAAAATTATCAAAGAGGTTCGCTTGCTGAAGTGGTAACCTCCACGTATCTGAAGTATTGTAGTAACTTATTGTTAGCGATTTTCACTCTAGCTGAAAGGTTCGGTTTGGTTTCTGACATTCTGTCATGATTCCCAATCGTTCTTTTTCCAATAAAGAGGCTGTCCTGAAAGGAACCGGACTTCTGTCATAGCAGGCGATCCCAGCGTCGTATTGAGGTTTTCTTTGACTTATCTGGAAGCTGATAAGGCACTAATGTGGGTAGTTTTCATCAATTTGAATTATCTTGATCAGCACTCATCTAATGATCTTTTTATTCGGACTAAGTCGATTGTGTGCTGCAATTTTCACGATGAGGTCTTTTTTTGAGCAAAGATGCAAGCTGAAAAAAGCAAGCTGCAAGCTGATGAAAGATGAATATTACAATAGTGCTCTGAGACGATTACTTGAAAATATTCGCAGATAAAGGCCTAAGCTCTTGTAAGAGAATTCCTGGTATCTGCATGACGATAATGCACTTGCCCATGCATTGCTCCAAATTCACGAATTTTGTGCGAAGAATGCCATGTGTGTTCTCCCTCATCCCCCTTGTTCACCTGACCTTGCTCCTTGTGATTTTATTCTTATTTTCTTGACTGAAATTTAATGTAAAAGGACAACGTTTTCAAACCGTTCCAGAAATTTAAGAAAACACTTTGAAAGAATTGCGGTCATTCAAACGTGAGGAATTTCATTAGTTTTTCGCCCACTTGATAAAACGGTGACAATAATGCATCTACAAAGCTGGGGAGTATTTTGAAGGGGATGGGTGATGACTCAGTAAGCTGTTTGAAATGTTCATTTTCTCATTCTTAAGCATTTGAAATTGACAGCAACAAAGTTTCTAACTTAAAATCTGAGTATTTTCTAAGTTGTATTTACATTTTTCTTGAAATAAAGTCCAAAATCGCAACTCTTGTGTGACTTTCCTTCATTCCACAACATGTAGTGTCCACATAAAGATGAATGTCAACATTCTGTAAAAGAAGAAATTTTTATCGGTTTGTCAGCTTTCAGATAAGCCCAAAAAAGCCTCATTACAACACTTGGTTTGCGTGGTATGACTAAGGTCCGGTTTCCTTTAGGGCAGCCCTCGTACGTAGTTAATTATCTTTATTTCGGATATTCTTACAATAAATGATGATCATTTGCTCTGTTAACTACTGTCTGGATTTCCAAGTGTTTGGAATATAACTTTCTACCTTCCTCTCCCTCCCCCCCCTTTCTTTATTATTGCCATTGGGAACTTTTCAAAACGTTTATTGGAGTAAGTTTTGCAAAAACCATTGGTGGTTCTTCATCAGAGAACTGATTTTCAATTTTCATGGCCTCTTTTGAAAGCTAAGGATTTCTTCTAATGATATGTGCTTCTAAAACTTCTAAAAAATACATGTTAAACGAGATACATGTAAAACTGGAAATATATTCCTTTTGACTTCTTAAAATCTACAATATTAAATTAAATCCAAAAGAACTATGTGCTACAAGGCGGTGCTTTCTTAGTGCTTATTTTACCAATTTAAGTGACATATAATGATCATTGATCGTTTTTGACAAAAAATTCAAAGTAGGGTCTATTCAAGATTTAGAAGTCCAAGATGGTAGATGTAGCGGTAAACTATATGTTGATGCCTGATCAATAAACTTCCATGAAACCTAGTATCCAGTGGTATTGTGATGAAATACTCGATGAGTCAACTTTTCGGAAATCCAAGATAGCAGTCATGGTTTAAAGTCTTCGCTTTGCTGACCCAAGGGCGAATTTCTATATCCATGTGAGTCCCGGATTGCATTGAGTTAAATAAATAACAGGGTTCTCTATGAAAATAGGGATACATATTCACGTCAGAGGCGCGACGTGTTGTTATGTTGGCAACTTTTCCTTAAGTTTGGATTCAATCTCGTATTTAGGTGTATTCTTTGACAGGTAACTTAAACTCAGAGTGATTTTTTCCTTTTTTAATAATTTTCATGTCAAAAGTGGGTACTCAATGGTCTCTATCGACATTTTCAGTCATGGATTCAAAATTTTAATTAATTCAATTACAATTAATTGAATATTTGTTCCGTGAATATTTATCAAGGCTTTTCTTCTTTTTGCAAAAATGTTTTCAATGAACAATTTAATTCATTAAAAATATTTTTGTTTAATAGCTACTCCTTTTGAACATTAAAGAGCGACGCCAAGAATGGCACAATTTGGGCCAGAAGGGATTTTTCTGAAACCGGGCCCAAACGATACCTTATGATACCCTAAAACTCTGGTGAAAATTTTAGCTTGAGTATACGCACGGTTTTTGAGGAATGAGGGGGCAAAGTTGCCAAATCGCCATCATTCTGGACAGCATTTCTACAGCAAAAAGACGGGAAAAATGGACAAAAAAGTTACACCTTTGATGGGTTTCGGCTGTAAATGTTCTCATTGGGCCCCCAAGCATTTAACTTTGTTCAGTTTCAAAAATTTTGGTCGCACAGTGGTCCAAAATGGGGGGAAATCGTCGAAAAATCAGGATTCTTCGTCAAATTTTTAGAAATGGAAGTAAAATTGTCGGTCTGCTGCAGTTTTCATGGCTAACAATGTTTGTATCCGTCATCAATGCATGAAATTGTGTTCAGCTTCACAAATTTACATCGCACAGTGGTCAAAAATGGGGGAATTAATGGACAAATTAAGATCCTCTGTCAAACTTTTTAAAAATGAAGTGAAACTGTTGGTCCCCAGTAGAGTTTAGATCCCGGAAAAATTCATGTTTTTAATTTTTTTAATTATTACTACATGTCAGACCGTATTGTTTATAGAACATTGTTATAGAATAGACTTTGTAGCATTATCTCAATAAAATATGCAAACTTTCAGAAATTTAAAAAAAAAGAAGGAAAAATGGAGAGAAAAAATTAAAAAAAGATTTAAATAGTCAAAAAAAGAATTTTTCCGGGATCTAGACTCTACCGGGGACCAACAGTTTCACTTCATTTTTAAAAAGTTTGATAGAGGATCTTAATTTGTCCACTAATTCCCCCATTTTTGACCACTGTGCGATGTAAATTTGTGAAGCTGAACACAATTTCATACATTGATGACGGATACGAACATTGTTAGCCATGAAAACTGCAGCAGACCGACAATTTTACTTCCATTTCTAAAAATTTGACGAAGAATCCTGATTTTTCGACGATTTCCCCCCATTTTGGACCACTGTGCGACCAAAATTTTTGAAACTGAACAAAGTTAAATGCTTGGGGGCCCAATGAGAACATTTACAGCCGAAACCCATCAAAGGTGTAACTTTTTTGTCCATTTTTCCCGTCTTTTTGCTGTAGAAATGCTGTCCAGAATGATGGCGATTTGGCAACTTTGCCCCCTCATTCCTCAAAAACCGTGCGTATACTCAAGCTAAAATTTTCACCAGAGTTTTAGGGTATCATAAGGTATCGTTTGGGCCCGGTTTCAGAAAAATCCCTTCTGGCCCAAATTGTGCCAAAAAACGGTCGTTTTTGGCGTCGCTCTTTGGCACTAACAGATAGTGGTCTGTCTGTTGGTGAGCTGCTGTTGATGAACAATGATTTATCCATAAGTATGGTACCCCTAAACAACACTGATTCTAAAATAAACTTCTTTTATTAAACCTATTCTTTAAATGCGCTTTGTCACTACGATTCACAGGATGCGGCTTGAATTTTCACAAGAGGTGTGTTGTTAAGGTGCCAAATAATTGCTCCAACAGTTTGTCCAATGGAAAAAATCGCTCAACGTCTAACCTACTTGTGCCTCGTAGTCCTTCTGAGACTGGATCAAATTCTTCTTTAACATCAATTTTTGATGATCTAAGTTTAAGTAATCTTGTAAGTATTTTTTCTCCTCTCCTCATTAATATGAAAAAATTGTTGCCGAAAGTCCATCTACTTTGAAAGAGTCAAATAGCAGTTTCAAATTATTTTAACTCTTAATTTCCTCTTCAGAAGGAGCTTGTCAAGTAAATTTCAAGTATTGCATTTTTAATGAGTCTCTTTGCACTTAGTTTACAGTATTTTTTATCAATTTTTTGAACGATATTAAGTTGCTGAAAGCGAGTTTAAAGCTGCAAATTTTAAGCTTCCATTTAAATGCTTATTGCAGAGAAAGCCAAGATGGCTCCGGAGAACATCCGTATTGCTCCTGTGGTGCGATGGCCAGATTGGCATCTCTGCCTTGATCCACGGTTTCTAGTCCATGCAGCCATGTATCGATAACCTATCATGACAACAATATCATGGGCCGTGGATTTTGGCAGTGGTACTGATTGGGCCGAGGCACTACAGGAGCAGCACGGATATTTGCTGTTGCCATCTTGGCTTCATTGGCAATGTGTGTTCAAATGGAAATTCAAAATGTGCAGCTCTAAGGTGAATCTTCAGTTGTAGTTGCGAAATAATCCACCATGTGGCGCTGTTAAAATCTGACCCTGAAATCAGTGATTATTTAAACATCACAACAGATACATATTAAATTCTAAGACTCATAAGTTCTTGCAGCATATGTTAGAAATGTTCAAAACGAAGCACAAGCTTTGAAAGTTTAATAATAAAGGCGGAAACCAGACCCCAGTTTCTCTTATGAAATGCCTGGAAGTGTAAGAGAGATAGTTCATAGTGGGAGAGAGATATCTGCACTGGTGATTTGTGGCACCAAGGTAATTTTTCTTAACCCTAATATTATCTGGGATCAAGTCCCAGAACTTAAGAAGTTACTTTTCATATCCTTTTTTGTGTCAATAGGAAGAGAAATGTTACAGCATGTTACATGACTCTTCGATTCTAACAGGAATTCCTTTAATTTACGCAATAGTTCAAGGACTCAAGTGGAGCTGTGCGAACTCTAATGGCGGGAACCATAAAATCAAAACATAGCCGTGGCGCCCTTAAAAAATGTCTTACTTCTGGAAGCTGTAGAGAAACCTTAAACGTTCATGAGTTAATGCCTCCCAAAAACAAGTGGGAAAATTTTGTCCACCAGGTGCACTTCATACTTTTCTAAAATGCAAGAATTACCAATCACTCAACAAGTGCACAAGCTCATCGCACACTTTTCACATTAATCACCATTTAAGACAGTCAGTCGAAGAATGTGGGTGTGATTCTTTATTTGCCACTGCATTTTGAGTACCACAAGCAAATATTCAATTTAAAAATCAATAGTCAAGCAGGAAATATCCTTCATTCCTCTCATCTTCAATATTCTTTTAAGCAACGGATATTTCACACAGTTTACTTTCAAGATTAACTTTGGCAAAATCTAATCTTCCAACTATTGTGCAGGTGCCTTCAAGTTCTTCCAAGCAGAGTAGATCCTCTTCACTGAATAGTAGAGCTCCTTGGGGGTCTGTTAGAATTCCACATACATTTGTTGTGCACACATATGCACGGCCGACCGTTTGTCAGTATTGTCAGAAGTTTCTGAAAGGGCTTTTCAAGCAAGGGATGCAGTGCCGAGATTGCCTTTATAATGCCCACAAAAAGTGCATAGACAAAGTACCAAAAGACTGCACAGGAGAGGGAGCGAAAGATCCTGTCGGTAGGTTGACTTATTTCACACTTTCTTTCATCATCGCTAGAGACCCCATCTTTTCGTGATTAATTGTGACCCAAATTCTCGCTGTAAATCCTGAAGTTCTTCTTGTAAACTGCTACATTCTTTCTAAAAATTTATCAAAATGTATTATTTTCCTCTCCTTTGAAACTAAAGCAGGGAGAATTGAGGGATTTTAGATATAGTTTGGAGACTCTCTCTCAAATAAATAGAAACCATAAATAGAAAAGAAAAATGTGAAAGTGATAACTTCTTGAAAAGCTTCACATCGTCAATATCATCATGATAATGACTATTTCTCCACTAATTTACCAATCAAAATAGTAATTTATCGCTAATAACATCAAAATTTGCAAACCTGTGGTGAAAACCGTCGAATTCATGTCCATATTCGCGTAAATGTGGATATTTGCGCTCAATGGCGGAACCTGCAGAATTTTCGACTACTTATTCAAAATCAGCGGACTCCATGATACCTCTGGGCTTCATCCCAGTGCTCGAAAACGGTTTTTTGAAAATAGTGCGAAATAGTCTCTGTGGTCTTTAATCATCACAACTGATACCAAACTCGCTATACGCTTAGAACCTGTCAATGGTCTTTAATCATCACAACTGATACCATTCTCGCTCAACGCTTAGAACCTGTCAATGTTCTATAATATACTCAGTCCATCTAATACCATGGAAGGGCATTAGGATGATTCAGTGAGCACAGGAAAACTTTAGAGACTCTACCTACAGGGATTCCCTGTATATCAGAGCTGCTTTCCAAAAACAGTGATCTATACGAAATTCTGGACAAATTTGAATAATATTCGAGATCATTCAATTGTTCCAAAAGAGGCTGTCCCATTTTCCATAGGAAATGGCCGCAAGAGATTTTACATCCATACTTTCAGGAATCATAATGGATCATCGCAGAGGCCTAAATCCGGTGACCTTTCCCGTCTAGCCCTCCAAGGGGGAGGGGGAGGGGGTCAAAGGTCAAACGCACAGACTGCCATAACTTTTGAGCGAAACAACGGATCAACTTGATCTTGGGCTCAAATGAAAGCTCTCAAAAAGACCTTTCATTTAATGTACATTAAAGTCTGTTTTTGGTAATTTTTTAACGTGAAAAAAATCATTATTTGATTTTTCAAGCCCAAAAAATTCAGTTTTTCGGGTCTATCTATGAAAGGGAAAGCATGAATCATTACAAAAACCAATTTAAATGAGAGTCCTTGATTCAAGCTTTAAAACAAGCTATCATTGAACTTGGGGAAATGAATGGTTCAAAAGTTATGACCGTTCAAAGTTGGCGTGGCGCGCTATTTTCGAAGCGCGCGGAGTGTATACTCGCGTTCCACCCCTCCCTACCTTTTCCCCTGGTGCCTGCTTCAGCTGATAACGGATACAGAAAGGTGCAAAGCTCCTTCCACCTAAAGAATGACCGATCATACGTTATTTTTTTGCCCCCCTCCCTCCATTATATAATATTTAATAGCCAAATCAAGCCTCTCATCATTGCGCTATCTGATTATTCCTGTGCAGGTAAATCTTGATGAAAGGGGAATAGATCGGAGAGAGGAGAGGGAGAGATATTCAGTAGTAAATGCGAGTTTAAAGTGCTGGTCGGCTAATTGCGTACTAGAGCTTATGAATATTATCTACAGCTTTTCAGTGTATTTTGCTGTAAAAGAGGCTTGATTTGGCCATTAAATATTGTATCATGGAGGGGGGGGGGCGAAAAACTAACGTATGCCAGCGTTTTATCGTTTATTAGTATTTAATTTATTTTTATTTCCCTTTTTTCGTTAGAAATATAAGTAATTTTGCACTAATGATCGGTCATTCTTTAGGTGGAAGGAGCTTTGGACCTTTCTGTATCCGTTATCAGCTGAAGCGGGCACCAGGGGAAAAGGTAGGGAGGGGTGGAACGCGAGTATACACTCCGCGCGCTTCAAAATAGCGCGCTACGCCAACTTTGAACAGTCATAACTTTTGAACCATTCATTTCCCCAAGTTCAACGATAGCTTGTTTTAAAGCTTGAATCAAGGACTCTCATTTAAATTGGTTTTTGTAATGATTCATGCGTTCCCTTTCATAGATAGACCCGAAAAACTGAATTTTTTGGGCTTGAAAAATCAAATAATGATTTTTTTCACGTTAAAAAATTACCAAAAACAGACTTTAACATACATTAAATGAAAGGTCTTTTTGAGAGCTTTCATTTGAGCCCAAGATCAAGTTGATCCGTTGTTTCGCTCAAAAGTTATGGCAGTCTGTGCGTTTGACCTTTGACCCCCTCCCCCTCCCCCATTGGAGGGCTAGACGGGAAAGGTCACCGGATTTAGGCCTCTGCGATGATCCATTATGATTCCTGAAAGTATGGATGTAAAATCTCTTGCGGCCATTTTCTATGGAAAATGGGACAGCCTCTTTGCAACAGAAATTGTGTCGGGTTAAATGGGAGAAAACAGGCTGTGCAGGTAAGATACATGTTCGGTAATGAAATTGCATACTCACAACAAAATCTCACTCTTTTTTCATCTTTTGTTGCCGCAGCAGATTTAGGAGCGAACAAAATCCTGTTATGGGTTTATTAATTGGTGGTGCGTTCAAATGGGCCCTTGTTTGTGTGGTCTCAATTGAAAGAAAAATACAAAATACACATTTACTTAGTTACATGGCATGGTATGCGACCTTTCTTTCACACTCCTCTGATAATTTGAATTTTCTTCAGTCGATCCTACAAGGTCGAAGCCTATTTTGTAATCAATTTGCTGTCAGTTCGATGGGGAATGACTCCTAACGAAGGGCCATAATTTTCTATGATCTTATCGGCATAGCAAGGTCGATGAAACCTTATATACCTTGTACCTAAGTAACCTTGTATACTTTTAAATTCAAATATTTACCTTACATGCTTACATAATTTTAATTGAATTGATGTGCTGTATTTCGCAGGTTCTGAGTATCCTGACAGTGGAGTAGGAAGTGAAGATAACCGAGAACAACTAGAGGATGATAGTGATGGCGAGGGAACGAACTCTCCATTGCCAGCCCAAAAACAGCAAACTTACTTGCCCTCTGTATCAAATGGAGCCCCTTTAATTGTATGTATTTTATGGTCGGCTCATCTCATTATATGATAAAATAAAGCACAAATACTATTTGAAAGGAAAAAAATTAAAAATGAGAATGAACTATTTGAAAGGAAAAAAAATTAAAAATGAGAATGAATTCAGAGTTAACAAAGAAACATATATATAGACACTGTACCTTCTGAAGCATGTTAACAGAAATGTGTTCATGGCAATGTCAAATGGGCCTGTTGCAAACTTTTACTAGAGCAAAACTAAGAGTTGTTTCTTGTAGTTAATGCCTCAAAAATCACGATGAGCGCATCGGCAAAGTCTGAAATGCACTCATAACTTCACAATCTGCGTAAGAAATTTGCGTTTTTTTAAGCTTCCCGCTTCAAAAACGATACTACGGCGTAGGTGAACATTTTGTTAGAGGAGTCGCTCCATCGTCGGCGATATTCATCATGGCCGACGCTTGCACGCAGTTCCGCGCGTAATTCAAGGAGAGTTCAAGGTCAATCCATTCGGGCGTGGAAAATATGAACGTTAACACACCGATTGTTATCTGGTCTAATCCAGTTCAGGTGTTATCTCGTCCCATCAAACGTGTTTTGGCGGATTGGCGTCGGCTATGATGATTATTGCCGGCGATGGAACGACTCCTCTTACAAAATGTTCACCTGTGCCGTAGTATCGTTTTTGAAGCGGGAAGCTCAAAAAACCGCAAATTTCTTACGCAGATTGTGAAGTTATGAGTGCATTTCAGAGTTTGCCGATGCGCTCATCGTGATTTTTGAGGCATTATCTATAAGAAACAACTCTTAGTTTTGCTCTAGCAAAAGTTTGCAACAGGCCCATTAGAACATGAAGACTATGAAATTGGAGATACGTGACCAGATCTGTAAAAAGGGACCTTATCTTCCAAAACTTTTAATTTGAGTCATTGGTACCAGTTCATAGAGTTATAAAACCTGGATATTTTAGGGCAGTTTGCTTTGCAGCCCATCCACAAACTTTCACATCTATTGATCTTGATGGAATTGAACTCTGCTTCCTAGGGGAGCACCCTATGGAATGGAGTTCCATTCCGTCAAGGTCAATAAAAGTGAGAAGTCTGTGGTCGGGGTGCTGGCAGCTCAAAAATTGAGGGAAATATAAGGTCCTGAAGTTCCCAGCAAAACATACTTAATTTGTAGGTGCAAGGTTTAGGTTAAATTTAGGTTCAGAATAGTAGCATGCACACAGAAAAGGAACAGCTTCGTGGGAAGAAAATTAAACTAAAACCGCAAGCAGCTTGTTCCAAGACTTTTAGAGAACGTTTCCTGTTGAGAACTCGGAATCACCAATTTCCTACCCTTTCTTAACCAAAAACCTAACCTTTCCAAGGATCCTGTCGCATATGAGGATGAGTACTTTGACGTGGGTGTCTTTATGATGTCATCATTGTCATTCATATGCCACCGTATCATTTTGACCCGAAATTTCAATTACTCATTCATTTTGTTGCATATTTTTATGTTATTGTATCAGATTTTCTTTGAAAGTATAAAAAACTCAATTTGTTTTTGCTCAAAATTGCAGGAAACCATGATTTGCAGAAAGAGGCGTTTGCGCAGAATGCTCTCTTTTCAGAAGCAAATTACATCTTCTAGATGTTACATCTTAGCTGATATTTATGTCACACCAAAAAATAGGCAGGATCATTGAACAGAACTAAGACACATTCTTTCATTGCATTGACAGAGCACTTTTACACTAGAGGTTGGCCTAAGGTTTCTTTGCTGCTCTTTGGACGAGTATGCAACTGTAATGTACAGAGTTTTGGTGGTCTAGAAAATCAGGAAAGTCAGAGAATCAGCATGCATGCAATTTTTATATTGAGATAGGTCAGGGCATTGCCAGAAAAGATGGAGAATTTTGTGAAAAGTGCCTCGGCTTGGCATCTTCAGCCATTGCCATTTGGGCTCATATCGAATCTTTATGTACAGATTTTTTGTTCAAACTTCAGCATAAGTCAGCACATCTAAAGAGAAACCATAGAATGGAATATTTGTCGGAAGGAAAACCATTGAATTTGAATACTTTTTAGGAAGGGGAAACCAAAAAAAGTCATGAAAAAGTTAGAAATGTTAGGGAATCTGAAGATGAAACAATTATAGAAATCCTGCCTTCAGAATTTTCTAAGGTTCTTGCGAAATCCGGTTAGGGTGATTCTATGTGATGTAGGGTTGAGATTTGCCACTATGTTGCGCTGCTATGCAGTTTGTGTCTTTGAGAAGCAATACTTACCGATGCGTACAAGTTGATGTAAGAAACTCATACATAACGTGTAGCAACATCGGCACTCAGTAAAATGACATCAAAATTGTTAAGATCCATCATAGTTCTATATCTATAAGTACGATGACGAACGAATAGCACTATAACACACCCTGAGTCAATGGGCGACGTACGTTTTCGTAGTTTCAAGTATAAATTCACAATGAATCGTAACAAATTTGATAGTTTCTTGTATTATCTTGTACATTATAATAATTATTGCTTATCAAAGACGTAAACCGTGAGCCAGTGCAGCATGGTTGCGGATCTCGTCTCTAGATCACATAGAATCACCTTAATCAAGCTTTTACTGCATAATTCAATTTATCCAGTTATCAAGCATAAGTGGATGTGGAGTTTCATCCCTGATCGGCATTCTTCTCTTTTTTCAGGATATTACTGTAAGTAATACTGATGATGCTGCATCCGCCGGATTTAGACCTGCTTGGTAATTATGTTTTTCCATGCAATCTAAATTTATTCCTTAAAGTACTTCACAATGAAATTAAAGACTATGTCTATCAATGGAATCATACTTTGATTGCCATAGGAAGACTGAGATTGATTATATTTTGATTTAACTAAGTTCCTATTCATGTAGGCCCTTTGTCTTTTCAACTATCTCATGTTTATAAAACATTTATACAAAATTTGTACACAGCAGCCATTTAAAAACATGAAAAAACAAGAGGGCAAAATGGGGGATAACAGGAAACAAGGCTAGTAAATACACAACAAAACACCAAGACGATCGACTCAAAACTGAGCCATTTTCAGTCGGAAAATTAATTAAAAAATTTCGGGAAAAAACCCTGAAATATACATGATGGTGAAGGTAAAATAATTCAACTTCATTCACAGCAACCGTGCATTCATGCACTGCTAATGTTGCACTGCTAATGCCGCATTTTGAGAGTCCGTCGGACTCAATTGCGTGCGCAGTTAATTCAGTCTTTTTTCTTAACATGCCAAGCCATCTCAAGTGAGGATGACGATTTTCCTAAGTAAAATTGTTTATCAAATAACCCACCTAGTTTATCAAACAACCCACGACAGATGGTGGTGGAGATTCAGTTTTGAGTCAAAACGTCTCAGTATTTTTTGTATAATTTTTAGCCTAGTCTCCCGTTTTTCCCCTTGTTTTTTCATGTTTCTAAAACATGGACTGGAATTTCGCTTTTCCTAATTATTTATATTTCAGCTCCCTGTAGTGAAGCTGCTTTGGAGATTCTTTCTTCTCTGCCCTTCTTCTACTGATGTCACCTATGTGTGTTATTTCAATTCTCAGAAATTCTAATCCTCTGAACCTTCCCTCCATAACTTTCTACCTTTCCGCATCAAACAATGTTTTCAAAACCTATTTACAAATTTATCTCTTCCTCTCTACTTTTCACTATCATCATCCTGTATCCATCATAAAACTCTCTTTATCTCATCCGCTGACATTAATATCGTTTGTGGGATTCCCCAGGCATGCCCCATTAAAGTGTGGCTTCTTTTGGTCGTATAGAAAAATCGAGTTGCACTATGTGGCAATCGTCTTATCCATGAAGATAAGAAGTTATCTTAAAGTGGAGCCAGATAATTTTTTTTTTATTTAATCCTTTGAATGGTTGTAATTTCAAAAAAATTTACATCGCTTTAAAGGGGATCAGCAGAAATGAGCATTTTGCTATGAGGTGCATCCTAATGAAAAAACTTGACAATCTGTTGAAGAGGCTTCCAGAGATCTTTGTAAGACGAGGAAATTACACTTTGGATGTAAGGCGGGGTGTCATAGTGCAACCAATTTCATGGCTTAAGGCGTGGAAAACTGATTTTATTTTGAAGCTGTTCTCATTAAACTCAAACAGGTCTTCAGAAGTTGAGAAGCCACACATATCTCACTACTTGTCAGAAAATGATTTACAAGGTTTGTTCAATAAGAACACCACATTCACTAATTTGAAAAATCTTAATTAGCTTATATG